ATACCACCCAAAACGATCTATAGATTCAGTGTAGTCCCTTTCAAGATTTCAGTGATAGTTTTCATAAAAGTAGAAAATATGCTTCTAAAATTGAAATGGAACCACAAAAGACCCCAAATAGCCAAAGCAATCTTGAACAAAAAGAACAAAGTTTAAGGCATCATACTGCCTCATCTCAGAATCTGCCGCAGAGCTGTGGTAATGAAAACAGCATGGTACTGGCACAAAAACAGACCGGCGCAATGAAGTAGAATTGAGAGCTCAGAAATTAATCTGCACATTTATGGTAAACTGATCTTCAACAAAAATGGCAAGGGCACACATTGGGGAAAGGACAGTTTCTTCAATATATGGTATTACAGTACCTGGATATCCACGTGCAGAAGAATGAAATTGGACCCTTATCTCATACCATATGCAAAAATCAACTTGAAATGGATTCAGGATTTAAATGTTAACTGACTTTGTAGAACTACTGAAAGATAACATCGGGGAAAAGCAGTGGGGCACAGAGGCTCACGCCTGTAATCCCAGCACTTTGGGAGGCCGAGGTGGGCAGATCACCTGAAGTGAGGGGTTCGAGACCAGCCTGGCCAACATGGTGAAACCCTGTCTCTACTAACAATACAAAAATTAGCCGAGCATGGTGGCGTGCACCTGTAATCCCAGCTACTTGGGAGGCTGAGGCAGGAGAATCGCTTGAACCCAGAAGGTGGAGTTTGTGGTGAGCCCAGATCATGCCACTGCACTTCAGCCTGGGCGACAGGGTGAGACTCCATCTCAAAAAGAAAGAAAGAAAGAAAACATAAGGGAAAAACTTCTCGACGTTGGACTGAGCAGATATTTTGAAACCCAGAAGCATAGGCAGTGAAAACAAAATAAGTATATGGGATTACAACAAGCTTCTGCCCAGCAAAAGCAACAATCAACAGAGTGAAGAGACGGCCTACAGAATGGAGGAAAATATTTGTGAACTCTAAGACAAGGGGCTAATAAAAAATTTATAAGGAACTCAATAGCAAGAAAACATTGTCAGGCCTGGTGGCTCACGCCCATTATCCCAGCCCTTGGGAGGCCAAGGTGGGAGGATCACTTGATCTCAGGAGTTTGAGACCAGCCTGGGCAATGTAATGAGACCTTGTCTCCAGCAAAAAATTTTAAAAATTAACCGAGCGCGATGGCACATGCCCGTAGTCCTGGCTACTCACAAGGCCGAGGTGGAAGGGTTGCTTGAGCCCAGGAATTAAAGGCTGCAGTGAGCTGTGATCACACCACTGCACTCCAGGCTGGGCAACAAAGTTAAAAATATGAATAAATAGCAAGAAAACAAATAACCCATTTTTAAAAATGGACAAAGGATCTGAAAGGACATTGCATATACACAAAAAGACCAAATGTCCAGCAAGTATATTTAAAAATGCTTAACATCACCAGTCATCAGGAAAATGCATATTAAAACCACAGTGAGATACCACTTCATACCCATTAGGATGGCTGTTATAAAAAAGACAAGATAAGTCTTGGCAATGGTATAGAGAACAGGGAACCTTTCTATACTGTTGGTGGGAATGTAAATTAGTACAGCCATTGTGGAAAACAGTGTGGAGGTTCTTCAGAAATTAAAAATAGAACTACCATGTGATCAGCAATCCTACTTCTGAGTACATATCCAAAGGAAAGAAAATCAATACATCAGAGAGATACCTGACTCCAGTGTTCATTGCAGCAGTAGTCACAGTTGCCAAGATACGGAAACAACCTAAGTGTCTGTTGACACATGAAGTAGGTGAAGAAAATGTGGTATATACACAGAGTGGAATACTCTTCTGCCTTTAAAAAGAAGGAAATTCTGTCATTTGTGACAACATGGGTGAACCTGGATGACATGTTAAATGAAATTAACCAGGCACAGAAAGGCAAATACTGCAGGATCCAATGTTAAAAAGTCAAAAAGCAGAGAGTAGAGTGGTGGTTACCTGGAGATGGTGGGGAGGGATTGAGGAAATGGCGGTCAAATGATACAAAATTTCAATGTAGGAGAAGTAACTTCACAAGATGTGTTGTATAACATGGCAGCTAGAGTTAGTAACAGTGTATTGTACACTTGAAAATTCCTGAGAGTAGATTGTAAATATTCTCATCACACACACACACACACACAAATGTTTTTGATAATATACTCTTGGCCCTTAGAAGCTTTAGTGTGAGTATGTTTAATGTTATAGAATTGTCTCGGTGTTTGAAATTATCAGAGTTTCAAACAATTGAGGATTAAGGAATAAAGTTACTGGTGGTCTGTATGGCCGCCTCATGTTTCACCTTTTTAAAAGTACTCAGTGCTACCTAAAAACCCCCCTTCTGTGCTGCTTAGAAACCTGCGTGATGAATTGGCGTTAAACTAAGCACTAGGAACATTTACTGAGCTCCTACCTTGTGAGGAGACTTAGAGGTGAAAAATCTAAGATTCCTGGAGGCAGAAATCTGGATTTTACATTAATGCCAAAAGGGCCATATGAGCACACTCATTTGGAAATGTTTTCCAAAATAAAATTTTAGATGATTTAGAAATAAACAAATGAACAAAAATGGAGCCCAGTGCAGCTAGCAGTTACGGGATTTGGCCTAATCCATATGCCAAGGAAAATTTGTAAACTTTGAGGCTTTTAAAAACAGAATAGAGTAAGCATAAATTGAGCATTCAACTCAAAAGTCTTTTTTAGAAAATCAAAGGAATAAGGAATTGTTAAAAACAAAGTAATACCATGAAATGTAATAGATTCGTCAATAACGTCAAGAAACAAGATGATACAAATGACCTTTAGAATAAGAAAGGGGATAGTGCAGCAAATAAAAATTTTACTCTTAACAAAGGACTTCCAGTCAAGTGGTTGTGATATACACATGTGTAACCCTCCCATACTCTAGATGCACAGACATCATCAACACATCTCTTGAAGTTACTCCTCATAAGCTGAGATAAAGAAATTTTACGTGTGTGTGTGTGTGTGTGTGTGTGTGTGAGAGAGAGAGAGAGCACGCAGGCGAACACCAGGGCAACACAGACCCCATCTCTACGGAAAACAGATAAAAATAAACTTAGCCAGGCATGGTGGCATGTGCCTATAGTCTCAGCTACTCAAGAGGCTAAGGCAGGAGGATCACTTGAAGGACAGGAGTTTGAGGCCGCAACGAGCTATGGTTATGCCAGTGCATTCCAGCCTGGGTAGCAGAGTGAAATTCCAACTCTTTCCGTATAAATATATAATGCCTTTATAACATATAATCTATAAGAGGAAAATGTCTTTAGATGAGAAAAAGAAGAGGGAACAAAATAGTAATAGGATTTGAATCCAGGAGAATCACAAGAGTTAAGAACCCAAAAGGGTAGTAGAGATGGGCTTCAGAAGTTCTCAAGGAAGAAACTCCTGGTCCCTATGTTAGACCTGAACTAAGGGCTACTTTTTATAGTACGGTTAAGAAAGCAAAGTAGCTTACGTAGGTTTCGTTGTTTCTGTTGTGGTTATCTATCATTGCATAACAAACTACCCTGAAGCTTAGCGGCTTAAAAGAACAACAGTTCATGTTTTCTCATAATGAACTGGATGACTCTGCTTTACATGGTGTGGGTTAGGGCACTGGACATGGCTGGGAGGTCCAAACAGCCTTATTCACATGGCTGATAGTTGGTGCTGACTGCTGATTAGAAGTGTAGCTGGAGTTTTGGGCCAAGGGTTTTGGTTCTCCGTTGTTTAGATCTCCCTGTAGGCTGCCTGAGTTTTCCTCATGTTATAGCTGCTGGGTTCTAAAGAAAATACATTCCAAGCAAAGGCAAATACTACCAGGCATCAGATGACCTAGTCTCTGAAATCACACGGCATCGTTTGTGCCACATTTATTTTTAGTCAAAGCTAGTCACAGGACTTGCCTAGATCTAATGGGAGGGGAAAGAGACTCCTATTGATGGTAGGGTGATTTAGTTATATTGCAAAAGAATGTCTGGAATGGAAGATGTGAGCCATCTTCAGAAGTAGAATTTACCACAGTCCCCATTTGATTTAGCTAGAGTTTTGCCCAGCCTCATATCACGAGAAATGTTAAAGCAAGGATTCAAACCCATGTTCATCTGATACCAGGGACTTGTTTCACCAGTGGCCTTTACTGTAGGAGTTAACTTCTTTGAGCAGAGACTAGGAAATAAATTGGAGGGAGATAAATTGTGACCAAGGTATCTTGAATGGTGACTCTGATTTTGACATAAAACATGTAAGTGAAATTTGTGACCGAGGAAGCACAAAATTTCCAGATGTCGAAGTGGGAAATTGTAGGATGTGTAATGGAAAGAGCAAGTCATTCAGACTGGATAGTGTGTAAGGTTTATGAAGAGGTGAAGAATGAAGGTGAGTGGTACATTGGGGTCAGTTCATTCAAAGACGTGATTACCAAGCCCTAGAGTTTGGATATTTCTAGAAAGGGAGAGTTTTGAAAGTTTTAGAGGAAGTAGGTTATTCTTTAAAAAGAACCAGCTGTTTAAAACACAGTGATTTGGGCAGTGGGGAATACTAATCTAAGCAATCAGGCAGACTGCATAGACAGTACTGCATTCCAGAGGAGGTTTAACAAGGCCTGAAGAAAGGTGTCAGAAATGAGAGTGAAGAGGTGATGATTTTCAGAAAAATTAAAGTGTTCAAATCAGGAACAATTGGCAACTGATAGATGCGTGGAACAAGACAGAGGAGGATCAGAGGTCGAAACTGTTAAAAGCTGAATGTGCCTATTCTGGATTTGAAAGTCATGATACCGCGAATGTTGTCAGTTCATTAGTCACATTTGTATCCTTCCATTCCTTGAAAATCTTCCCCAGACTTATTAAAATGAAGATATTGTATTTGATTACTGTTGCATTTAACAGGTTTTCATTAATAAATCATACAAAAATTTTGTCTTGCCACTTCAGATTTTACACTCTTAAGTTTCTGAGCTGCTTTTCTTTTCCCCTGTAGGTTAATGGCACAGATGCAGATTATGAATATGAAGAAATCACACTTGAAAGGGTAAAAACTATTACCTTAATCTGTTGTTTTAAAGAACTTTGCAATATACTGCTTTTTCATATAGGATTCAAGGGAGATCTTTCAAAAACAGAACTGTATGATATTTTCTAAGTTCCCAGTTCATAAAATTGGCCAAGGTATTTTCAAAACATGTGCCTTTTCTTTAGTAACCTTATTTTTTTTAATAAACTTTTATTTTAAAGTAGTTTTAGATTTACAAAGAAGTTGTAAAGATAGTCCCAAGAGTTTCCATTTACCCTGGATTCGGCCACCTCTATTGTTAACATCTTATATTACTAGAGTACATTTGTTTGAACTAACACACCTATATTCATACATTATTATTAACCGAAGTCTCTGTTTCCTTACTTTTTATGTTATTGTCTTCCAGAGGCCCATCCAGGAAACCACATTACGTTTAGTTATCCTGTCTCCTTAGACCCCTCTAGATTATGATAGTTACTCAGGTTTTTCTTGCTTTTTAATTTTGTTTGTATTGTTTATATGCATATGATAATGAAATATTGTTCGTATTAAGTAAGTGGTATACCAGTAACATGGTCATTGTATCAATTTTCTTTTCTAGCAAAATAACCATACTTCTAACGGACAGAGCTGTATTAAAAACTTACTATGGTATACTCCCCTAGTCAGAAAATGACTTAAGGGTGTAATGCAGATGTGTAAATTTTCTTAAGATACGTTTTTTTCCTTAAGAACGTTTGCATTCAGGCCCGGCGCGGTGGCTCACGCCTGTAATCCCAGCACTTTGGGAGGCCAAGGCAGGTGAATCACTTCAGGCCAGAAGTTCAAGACCAGCCTGGCCAACATGGCAAAACTCCGCCTCTACTAGAAATACTAAAATTAGCCGGGTGTGGTGGTGCAGACCTGTAATCCCAGCTAGTCGAGTCAGGAGAATCGCTTGAACCCAGGAGGCAGAGGTTGCAGTGAGCCAAGATCGCGTCACTGCACTCTAGCCTGGGTGACAAAGTGAGACTCCATCTAAAAAGAAAAAAGAGTATCTGCATTGAATTTTTATTGTAAGTTATAATAGTAATGCCACCTTATCTGGCTCGCATTTTATGAAAATTTAGTGTTTCACACAAGCAGATTCTTAAGTAACTAAATGTGTGTATATTCTAGACTAAAATCCTAGATAATTAGATTTGTTTATATTGGAATCAAGTCTGAGAAAAATAAATCTGAGAGAGTCTTACATGTTTATCTTTATTGCCTTCTACTTAAATTCGTATCACCTGTTAGGTGGCTACTGAAGTAACATTCAAGTAAGCACAGTATTAATGTACTGTACATATTTTAATATAGTAGTTTGTGATGTCTCCTAACTTTTTATATTACTGATTTTTTTATTCTTTCCCAGGGCCTTTTAAATTCCTTTTGTTTAGTCAGGACTACACATTGTATTTTTCACTGGTTGAAGAACTTGAGTACCTAAGTAACTTGGTAACCTCCCATAATCCACTGGTACTGTTCTTAAGATTCAGGTAATTCATGCAGTTAGATTGAAAAAACATTTTTTTATTAAAATAGAATTTTAAGACAAATGGTGGTAGAGTGAGTGTTTACATTGTTTAATACTACCAGTTAAATAATAGGTCCACATATATTTGCTTACTTGAGTTGCCTGAAATTCAGTTAAAACATTCTTGCAGAAATAAACATTTTTTAATACTATTGCTTAAATCAATTATCTTTGAAGGCTTTTTGTGGCAGTCAGACCCTTTCTGTGAAGAAAATATTCAGAAATCTTGTTTCTCCAGTTCATAAAACAAGCAAAAAGTAGAGCTTCTTTGGCAAAATTTACTTTGCTGTCCAGAAAATTGACCAGTGTTCTCAGGTTGGACTTTAGTATGAAAAACTGGAAAAACACCTTTTGCTAATCGGATGTGTTGGTTAAACATGTCACGGGTTGATGGCAGCTGTCACTTAGCAGCTACAATTCGGTCATTTAAAAATAAGCCGATATCAGGTTAGCAGAAGAAAAGCACCATCGCCACCCCCTTTTTTTCGAAGGCTAAAACAATATGTGTGTTTTACCTGCTCAGAAATAACAGCAGGAAGATCACTTCAGCGTTTGTCTCATAGGAGAGATGTGCCCTACCAAACATGGCGGAGGTGCAGTCTAAAAGAAACAGACTTATAGTGACACCTCTACAAATGGGTGACTTAATCCAGCGACAAGTTGCACATACTTTTAAAGAAAGAACTGTGGAGTAGACTTCAGAAGTCCTTGGTATATTTTCTTGAACCTCACCTGTTCAGCAGTAATGCCTCTGAAAGGACTTTCCTTCAGAACATGTCCATAATTTAGAATCTTTATATTTTACTCACCCATATACCTTTATTTGTTGTGTTCCTTATGTTAGTACAGTTTCTGCATCCTTTAATGACAGGAACCTATCAATAAAGATAAATCACATTCAGTCTCAATTTTTTTTCTTCTATCCTCAGGGAAATTCAGGGCTTGGTTTCAGCATTGCAGGAGGTACAGACAACCCACATATTGGAGATGACTCAAGTATTTTCATTACCAAAATTATCACGGGGGGAGCAGCCGCCCAAGATGGAAGATTGCGGTATGTTTTGCGATTTTCATTGTGATGCCGAATCCACTTTGTGTATTTTTCTTGAAGCAGACTGGATAAGGAATAAATACAAATAACAAACACTATCATAAAAACTAACATAGGGTGAATGCTTTGACAACATTCAAGTCAATGAATGCGATAATTATGCTCTAAACGTTGTTTTCCTGTTTTCATTTAGGACTCCAGTTTTATCTTAGATATTACAACATTTTGAATGATAAATTTGGTTGATGGTTTAAATGTTTGTGAGCATATTTATAGAAATCATGAGTTTCCCTTTGTGTTTTCAAATTTGCTCACAAAATATTTTCCATTTCCTTTCTGGTTGGGAAACATGTATATAAACTTATTTAAGATAAAGAGGATAGAGGATCACACATCCAAGTTGAATCCCACACCACAAAGACTAAAGTATATGCAAATTTTAAGTAATATATTTTCTTAATTGACTAGATGAAAATAACATTTGTCTCTGTTTAAATGTAATGTTCCATTTTGGAAGATATATTTTGCAAACTTTGATTTTTTTGGGGATCATAAATTACGGCATTTTCCCTATTTCCTTGTTTGTTGTTAAAATAGCCTGAAGTTTTAGGACTAAAGAGTTTATATAGTCTGTTAAAAACAGCATCTTATTTTAAGGATGTTGGTACCTTATGCAGTTTTTCGATTTCTAGGCTTTAATTCTCACTGGGTATGACAGATGGTATATTAATGAAATCAAATGGACATAAAAATTAATCATTTAACAATTCACGTAAATGTAGACATTTACTTTCTGATTCTGTTAGATATAGAAGCTTGTCCGGACCAGTTTTAATATTTTAATTATATTTTGTTTACCCTCTCTACCCAATTTGAGATGACCATCTTTTTTTCCTGATGGAATACCATGCAGTCAAAGAGACCAGAACTAGGGAAAACGCTAAGACTAGGAACAAATCAAACTTTTAAAAAAATAACACTATGACAAATTTTAAGTTATTTACCTACGGAACTTTTGAATTAAGTGACCTAATCTTTATATAAATTTCAAAAAATAACTTCATTCTTTTATGTCTAATATATAGGTTGGAATAGGCACTCAGAAAATTATATTTAGTTTATCTCAGTTTTCACACTATCTCTGTGACCTTAAACTCATGATGTGAGCCTCAGTTTTCTTATCTTTGAATCACAGCTATGTCACTTACTATCTGGATGGCCTTAGGAAAGTTATTTAAATTCTTTTTGCCTCAATTTATCCATCTGTAAAATACGGATTAAAATATATATTTAGCTTACAGGTGTCATGAGGGTTAAAACACCAAGAAAGTGTCTAGCATGTCATTAGTGCTAAATAAATGTCTGCTATTTTTATAAAGTATATCTTAACGCCGACACAGAATAAGCATGCAGTAAGTATACAAATGGTAGCTGTAATTATTGTTTAATATTTTTGTATAATCTTATTATTTTCACTATTTCTTTTGTTCCTTTTGCTGACCCTTGGGAAATGTTTGTGTTTGTTTATATTAGTTTTTGATATACTTTCTTCATTTGTGTTTTCTGGAATTACTCCAGAATTATTTATAATTCTCTTTACCTTAAAAAAAGTAACAAAAAATTGGTGAAGTGGAAAATTAATATTTACATTATATTTAATTTTTATTTTTTATATTTAATTGTTTTCTCAGGGTCAATGACTGTATATTACGAGTAAATGAAGTAGATGTTCGTGATGTAACACATAGCAAAGCAGTTGAAGCGTTGAAAGAAGCTGGGTCTATCGTACGCTTGTATGTAAAAAGAAGGAAACCAGTATCAGAAAAAATAATGGAAATAAAGCTCATTAAAGGTCCTAAAGGTATGTGGTAAGTCAAACTAAGATAAATTAAGAAATCTCTGAGTTAAATATTCCTATGAACTTTATCTGTGACATAGATTTCAAGATGAACAATAATAGTAATATTCTACAGAACTTGAGTGGATTTTAATTTCTCTGTTATTTCTACTGATTTTTGTCTTACATTGCATTTTAGAATATTTACATTTCTACCACGATTGCAGCATTTGAAAAGTTCCTATTTTTTGGGGTGGGGGGGTTGTTTTTAGAGGCAGGGTTTTGCCCTGTCACCCTGGCTGGAGTCCAGTGGTGCAGTCATGGCTTACTGCAGCCTCAGTCTCCTGAGCTCAAGCGATCATCTCACCTCACCCTCCCAAGTAGCTTGGACTACATGCACGCACCACCACACTGGGCTGATATTTTTTGTAGAGACGGAGGTCTCCCTGCATTGCCTAGGCTGGTCTCAAACTCCTGGGCTCAAGCAGTTCTCCCACCTCAGCCCCCCAGATTGCTGGTATTACAGTGTGAGCCACTGCACCTGGCCCAAAATTCTTATGTTTGTCAATGTATAGATTTTATACATTTTACCTCAGTGAGCATATATATAGATTTATAAGTTTTTATGATTTTTATATCCAATATTTGCTCAGCATGTTTTTAAGAATTTTTAAAAGTAAGGAACAAAATATCTACTTGTTTTATAAGTGGATTTCTCCCTATTGGTGTTAAGTATTATTACATTAAAGACTTCTAGCGTTAAGAGTGAAATATTTGTGTCCTGGAATACTTTGAAGTTAAGTATAGTATTGATATTAACTTGTGATAATTAATCTACAGAGTACTTTAAATGCAGATACACAGGCTAAGTTAAAAGAAGAAGTGTTTTTAATATGTATTATGAGCAGTTACATCTGCAGTAAAGGACTGTTAAGATGTGATTTCTCTTTGGGAGGCCGAGATGGGTGGATCACGAGGTCAGGAGATGGAGACCATCCTGGCTAACACGGTGAAACCCCGTCTCTACTAAAAAATACAAAAAACTAGCCGGGCAAGGTGGTGGGCACCTGTAGTCCCAGCTACTCGGGAGGCTGAGGCAGGAGAATGGCGTAAACCCGGGAGGCGGAGCTTGCAGTGAGCTGAGATCCGGCCACTGCACTCCAGCCTGGGCGACACAGCGAGACTCCATCTCAAAAAAAAAAAAAAAAAAAGATGCGATTTCTGAATTTTTAAAACATTGATGGATTGAGGATAAATGGAAATATTAGTTTAAATATGTGGCTTCATGGAAGAGGGAGGATTTCAACAAATGAAAAAGGAATGGAGAGCTGAGAAATTTTCTGATATTGGAGCTATGGGATTTAAGAATTACAGAAATTCCTTACTTAAAGTTGTTAATTCATAGAATATTGAAAAAGAGCAAAAATATTCACATTTTAAAGCCTGTTGGTTCTGCCCACCACCACCAGACAATCTTATTATTTCTTCTCAATTGTTTTATTCTAGTGAAAATAATGAAAGTGTAGATGAGCATAATCATGATGGAAACAAAAGTAAAACATAATTTTGCAATGTCACTTTGGAATAACAAGTGCATTTGCGAGAAGATACTAAGAAGGAACATGTGGGATAAAAGGAATCTCTTCATAACTCTAGGAGCAGCTATATTTATAAGTGTCCCTTGATTGCAGAACATATACTAGTAGATAACTAAATGGATTCTTTTCTATTTTAAAAAATATTAGTGTGGTGGAATTATTACCTTGTAGTTTTCAACCATTTCTTTCTGGGCTTAAGTTCATATTTATGGAAGAGAATCTAAAACTAGTGTTTTCCAAACAGGTCTTGGGTTCAGCATTGCTGGAGGTGTTGGAAATCAGCATATTCCTGGGGATAATAGCATCTATGTAACCAAAATAATTGAAGGAGGTGCAGCACATAAGGATGGCAAACTCCAGATTGGAGATAAACTTCTAGCAGTAAGTATAAGAAATCTATTGTCTTTTAAATCATTTTGTTGTGTGATTTTTTCTAATAGATACTGGAATTTCTCCATACCAAAAAGGTCTAAATGATATTTAAATTAGCAAATCCTAGCCTTGCTGTATCAAATCCTAAAAAATGATTCTTGGTAATATCTTTATTTGTCATTTCTGTTTTCTCTGCCAGCTCCTCCTCCGTTTTCCTTTTATTCCTTCGTTGTTGTTGAAGGGTTGAGGGCTTGTATGCACTAAGTGTTTCATCATAATCCTTAGATTTATAAAACAGCGTCATCATTTGTTTATGTATGACCCTTTTGTGTTTTACTTCACTTAATAATATAATGAAATCTAGTAATTACCCAGCTCAAGAATTAGAACATCAACCATTTTGTGTTTCTTACTCCTTTGCTTCTTAAAAATTGTTTAATTAGGCCAGGTATGGTGGCTCACACCTGTCTGTAATCTTGGCACTTAGGGAGGCTGAGGTAGGCAGATTGCTTATACCCAGGAGTTTAAGACCAGCCTGGTCTGCATGGCAAAACCGTCTCTACAAAAAATACAGAAATTAGCCAGGCCTGGTGGCTATAGTCCCAGCTTCTCAGGAGGCTGAGGTGGGAAGATCACCTGAGCCCAGGAGGTTGAGGTTACAGTGAGCTGTGATTGTCCTACTGTACTCCAGTCTGGGTGACAGAGTGAGAGCCCATCTCAAAAAAAAAAAAGTTTAATTACATACATATGCCTAAATAATTTTGTTTAGTATTGTTTTGAAGGTTTTTCAGAACGCTATTGCACTGTATGAGACTTTCGTCTCCAGTATTTTTTTTTTTTGCTTAATATTGTTTTACTAAGACTTACCCATATCATTGCTTAGAGCTAAAGTTCATTCATTTTATCTCTATGTAATATTCCACTGTATGTCTATACTGCAATTTATTTGTCTAATCTTCATCAGTGTATTAGTTTGTTTTCACACTGCTATGCAGAATTACCCGAGACTGGGTAATTTTTAAAGGAAAGAGTTTTAATGGACTCACCAGCCTCAGGAAACTTACAATCATGGTGTTGGGGGTGGGGGAAAGCAAACACACCCTTCTTCACATGCCAGCAGGGGAGATGCCAGATGCTTATAAAACAGTCTCATCTCATGAGACTCACTCACTATCAAGAGAATATCATCAGGAGCCACCTCCATGATCTAATCACCTTCTACAAGGTCCCTCCCTCAACACGTGGGGATTACAATTCAGGATGACATTTGGGTGGGGACACAGAGCCATACCATATCAATCAATAACTGTCTCAGCCCATGTTCCTTAGGGAAACAGAATCTGAAGAAAAGCTAATGTGCTAAGGTGTTATTGGGAGATGTGATCTCAAGAAGGCAAGAGTGAGTGGAAATGAGAAGTGAAGCAGAGAATGAATGAGAGCCAGTAGAAGGTAGAAAGTGTCTGAGCTGGCTGTAATTTTATAAGGTAGCTTGTTGCTTGTCATGTAGAACAGTCTTCCAGGCAGACACTGTAGAAACCATCCAGGCATCATAAACCTTACATCCAGCCTTCAGAGAAACGAAAGAAAGGTTTATCTGCTGGCCCCTTTTATTCTTGTGTCTCTTGTCTACCCCCTAGGGGTTATTTGTCCCAAGCTTTTGGATTGTGTTACCCAGCTCCCCTGGGCACAGTTTCTAGGAAAGCCAACTCCTATCCTCCGTGGCACAGCATTCACCCAAGCCCAAAAATGGTGGAGCTGCAGGGGTGTAGACAGGGCAGACGTGGGTCTGTGACGTGCTACGGCTCTCACTGTGTGGGACACATCAGCCATGCCCAGTCCCAGCCAGAAGGGGCTGAGAAAACTGGGAAGGGCAGGAGGCAAGATGAAAGTAGTAGTCAGGACTCTCCACTGAGCAAGCAGCCAAGGCCTAGCAGAATCTGAAAAGGGTACTGGTTTTTAAAAATCTATTTTAAGTCCTTTTTTTTTTTTTGGCATTATGAATAATTTTCTTAGGAAGAGGTGCTGTGTGTTCTGGTGAACGTGTACAAGAATTTTACTTGACTGTCACGGGATCGTTGATTATTCTGCTAGTAGCATTCTTTTTAAAAACCACGCTGTTGTTTTCCAGGCTGCTTGTAAAAATTTGCATCAGCAATATACATAAGATTCCTTTGTTCTGCATCCTGTTAAGTACTGTTTATTGTTGCAAGGAGACTGTATTTTTAGTTAATGATAGGGAAAAGGAAAGAGCAGAACTTGAACTACGTTTCTCTAACTTATCCTTTCACAGCTAAGATCACCACTGTTTCCTCGAACTGTAACCAGCATCGTCTCACCATCACTCACACGCAGACGCAGAGTCGACAGCCATCTGTTGCCACTAATTTTCTCACTTTTACTTTTATCGTTTCTCTAGAACTGGTTTTGGTGGTAGGAGACAGCAACCTGTGCTGATACCACTGTGGCAAGACTCATTCTCTTTTAAATCAACTTTTAATGAGGCTTTTCTCTCTCTCTCTCTTTTTTTTTTTTTTTTTTTTTTTTGAGACGGAGTCTCGCTCTGCGGCCCAGGCTGGAGTGCAGTGGCGCAATCTCGGCTCACTGCAAGCTCCGCCTCCCGGGTTCACGCCATTCGCCTACCTCAGCCTCCCGAGTAGCTGGGACTACAGGTGCCCGCCACTGCGCCTGGCTAATTTTTTTCTATTTTTTAGTAGAGACGGGGTTTCACCATGGTCTGGATCTCCTGACCTTGTGATCCACCCGCCTCGGCCTCCCAAAGTGCTGGGATTACAGGCGTGAGCCACCGCGCCCGGCCTGGCTTTTTTCTCTTAATTACACTGAAATCATTCAGTGCTCAGTCCTTGTCTTAATTGACTGATCTGGCTGGAGTTTGACACACCTTCCTCCTTCTTGTAACACTTTTTCGTTTGCCTAAAAGTCACCCTTTATCTTGGTATTTCTCTTCTTAGTAGCCGCTCTTCAATCTGTCGTTCTGATGTCTGGTGCCTCCTCATATCCCTAACCTCTAAACGTTGAAGTAATCCAGGACCCCCTCCTTGTACATTTTCTCCTCTTTACTATTCACTCCCAAAGTCACTGTTTTTTAACGTGTAGATCAAGACTCTGGTAAATGGTCAAATAACTTTTCTCTGGTCTAAAACATTGGGATCATCATCCTACACATTCCACATTGAATCCCTCAGCAAATTGTGTCAGCTCTTGTATCAGTTATCTAGTCATATGTGAGAAAACACAAAGATTAATGGCTAAAAAACACCACTCATGTATTTGTTTATAATTCTTCAGATTGGATAGGGCTTGGCAGGAACAACTTGTCTTTGCTTTACTAGGCCACAAAATCCACTGCTAGGTTGGCCCACACATATGGTGGGCAAGTTGGCGCTTAGCTGCAAACTCAACTGGCACCAATACAGCCAGGTGCTTAATTCTCCATTGGCCTCTTAGCGTGATTCGTTGGTTTCCCCGGATGGTGGCACCAAGTTCCAAAAGTGACTTTCCTAAGAGATAAAGCACCGATGTGTTATTTTATCAATCCTCTCTTTCCTCCTGTAAATTACCATACCTCATTGGCTAAAAGCTGATTTCTTGGTCAGCAAAATTCAGTGTGGAAAGAGATTTTTTTACAAGTGTGAATACCCAGGATGTAACTATTCTAGGCCACCAAAGGAAACAGTATACCACAGCTATTGAATGTGTGTTTCAGCGTGCAGCTATGATATGCCTGAACAGCAGTACACCACAGCTGTTGACATTGTGTTTAAGCGGCACACACAGCTATTGAGCGTGTGTTTCAGCAGCACACACAGCTGTTCAGGCGTGTGTTTCAGCAGCACACACAGCTATTGAGCGTGTGTTTCAGCGGCACACCACAGCTGTTGAGCGTGTGTTTCAGCACACCACAGCTATTGAACGTGTGTTTCAGCAGCACGCACAGCTATTGAACGTGTGTTTCAGCGGCACACCACAGCTATTGAGCGTGTGTTCAGCAGCACACAGCTATTGGCGTCATATTTCGGCAGCACGCACAGCTATTCAGGCGTGTGTTTCAGCGCACCACAGCTCGTAGGCGTGTAACTTAGCAGCACACCACAGCTCACTGACATTGTGTTTCAGCAGCACACCACAGCTATTGAAACGTGTGTTTCAGCAGCACACCACAGCTATTGAGTGTGTTCAGCAGCACACAGCTATTGGGCGTGTGTTTCAGCAGCACACCACGGCTGTGGACGTGTGTTTCAGCAGCACACCACGGCTGTTGGACGATACTGTTCGCTTGTACACCGGCTATTCAAAGCTGTGTTTTCAAACATTCAGCTGTTGGGCGTGTGTTCAGCAGCACACCACGGCTGTTGGGCGTGTGTTTCAGCCTTTACGGCTGTTGGGCGTATGTTTCGCTAACACCTACGGCTGTTGGGCGTGTGTTTCATGCTTCCAGCTGTTGGACGTGTGTTTCAGGGACGTGTGTTTCAGCAGCACACCACGGCTGTTGGACGTGTGTTTCAAAATGCAGGCCGTCCTTGCTTTGCATGGTAATGTGGAGCCATAAAAATGACCATGCTGCTGAGACTCTGCAAAGCAATGTTCATAATCAATGAGGGGAAATTATTCTTCTGTGACCTTTAAATTTTTTTGTGAAAATATTAAAACTACTGTTGTCAATTACAAAGGTACAAATTAGGAAAATGAAAAATATATTAAAGTTAATATTGTTAATACAAGGTAATTTAAAACAGAAACATTGATAATGTTTTATTCATTTGCAAAAAAAATGTATCAAAGAGAAGAACAATCTAAATCTAAAGCAAACAGAAGGGTGGAAATAATAAAGATTAGAGCAGAAATTACTGAAATAGGTAATATAAAAGATATAGAGAAGATAGACAAAAACTGAAAGTTGGTCCTTTGATAAAAATCAACAAAATGAAAAACTTCAGACCAGCCAAGTAAAAAGAGAGAAGGCTGAAATTTCTGAAAGCAAGAATGAAGGAGGGAAAACAAGAGACTGTTGTGAGTAACTATGTGCTAATACCTGAGGTAACTTAGACGAAATTGACAGATTGCTAGAAAGACACAAACTACCACTTCTAATCAGTCTTATCCTTGAGATTCTGTCCAGGGCAATAAGAAAAGAAAAAGGGGGAAAAAAATCAGATTAGAAAGGAAGAAATAAAACTGTATTTGCAGATGTCATCATATTGTATATAGAATATCCTAAGGAACCTGCTAATAGACTAATAAATTAGTTTAGTACTGGTTGCAGGATACATCACTACCTAAAAATCAGTTATATTTCTATACAGAAGATAGATGAATGGCCAACAAATAATTGAAAAAAAGTTCAACTTGAGTATTACAAAAGTAGAAATTTAAAACTGATGTATAAATTAAAATATGCATCATTTTACAGATTTTTAAAATTAGTTGATAATGTTTAATGTTGACAAAGGTCTAAGTAGATGGACACTCTCATATGCTGTAGTAGTGAGTATAAATTTACTAAAACCATGTAGGAGAACAATTTAAATATCTCACTTGTGTTCTAATAGTTTTCCTATTTAAATATGGGAATATTAACAGATATAATATTTAATAAATTATGATATAGCCACACAATGGGCTACTGTGCAGCCTTTTTTTTTTTTTTTAAACAGTGTAGTAATTCTATTAATTTGTGTCCAAATATGGAACAGTCTCTAAAGTACCTTACATTAAAAATCCTAACGTAAGAACAAAAATTTTAATATGTTTTCATTTCTTTAAAGAAGAAAAGGTCTAAAACGCATCCACACACATTCCTAAATGCCTAAGAATGAGAGAAAATCAAGACTGGGAGAATAGGAGGGATGGAGGCTGGAATCAAGATGGGCTATTCTGTTAACATACAACTACTTCACATGTCATGATAAACAACTTACTGAGATCATAGACGTCAAACATGGGTATTTTCTTTCTGCATACCTTTATTTTCCTTAAATCACTCTCTTATTTTCCCTTTCTTTTCGTGAAATCGTTTCCAAAACTCAGAAAACAAGTGAAAATGTCATAAATGTCTTTTGGGATTTTTTTTTAGGTGAATAACATATGTTTAGAAGAAGTTACTCATGAAGAAGCAGTAACTGCCTTAAAGAACACATCTGATTTTGTTTATTTGAAAGTGGCAAAACCCACAAGTATGTATATGAATGATGGCTATGCACCACCTGATATCACCAACTGTAAGTCTGTTAGCATATGTTTGCTTAAATGTATCTTATTTCTTCAGTTGTTATGCCGTTAGTGAAATGTTCTCAGTATAATAAAGTTTAAACATTATGCAAATATTTTTAAAGGAACAATTAAGCATTTTAATCTACTCTTTTTTTTTTTAAATCTACTTTAAGTCAAAATTTTTATAATTAGAAAGGGGGATCCTTTTTACCTTTATTATTTTATAGTAGTGATTACTCTTACATTTAAAGGGTTGATTTTCAAACTTTTATGTAAATAATTGTCACTAAAGAACATTTGCAAATATTGAAATTGTTTTGTTCTAATAGTTTTTCAATTGAGCTCAGAAATTTGCTTTAACAAACAGTTCATTCTTTTAACAAGCAAAGTACAGGCATACTTCATTTTATTGTTCCTTGCTTTATTGCACTTCACAGAGACTACATATTTTACAAATTGAAGGTTTATGGCAATCCTGCATTGAGCAATCCTGCATTGAGCAAATTTATCCGCACCTTTTTTTCTTCAGTAACATGTTCTCACTTCATGTTTCTTAATGTCTCTGTGTCACATTTTGGTAAATCTCGCAGTATTTCACACTTTTTCATTATGATTGTGGTATCTATTACAGTAATCTGTGATCACTGGTCTTTGATGTTTAACTATTTTAATTGTTTTGAGGTGCTACAACCACACTCGTGTAAGACAGCAAGCTTAGTAGATCAGTGTGTTCTGACTGCTCCTCTGAGGACTAGTGGTTCCCCTGTTTCTCTCGCTCTCCTCGGGCCTCCCTATTCCCCAAGATACAACAATATTGAAATTAGGCCAGTTAATAACTCTACAATGACCTCTAAGTGTTCAAGCGAAAAGACAAGTTGCATATTTCTCATTTTAAGTCAAAATGATTTAACTTAGTGAGGAAGGCATGTCCAGTGGCAGGAAAGGGAGAAAGCTAGACCTCTTGCTGCATTTAGCCAAGTTGTGAATGCCAAAGAAAAGTTCTTGAAGGAAGTGAAAAGTACTGTTACAGTGAACACACTAATGATAAGAAAGTAAAGCAGTCTGATTGCTGATGTGGACAAGTTTGAAGTGGTCTAGGTAGATCAAACCAGTCCTAAGATTCCTTCAAGCCGAAGCCTCACCCAGAACTGTAAGTCTGAGAGAGATGAGGAAGCTGTAGAAGAGAAATGTGAGGTTAGCAGGGGTTGGTTCATGAGGTTGAGGGAAAGAAGTCATCTCTATAACATGAAAGTGCAGGTAAAGCAGCAAGTGCTGATGTAGAAGCTGCAGCAAGTTACCCATAAGATCTAGCTAAGATACTGAATGGAAGTGGTTACACCAAACAGCAGTTTTCCAACGTAGATGAAACAGCTTCTACTGGAAAAAGATACCTTCTAGGACTTCCACAGCTAGAGAGGATAAGTCAGTGCCTGACTTCAAAGATTCAAAGTACAGGCTGACTTTCATGTTAGTTGCTAATGCAGCTGGTGATTTTCAGTTGAAGTCAATGCTCATTTACCAGTCCAGAAATCCAAGGAATTATGCTAAGCCCATCTGCCTGTTCTGCATAACTGTAACAAAACCTGTGCTCTGTAACTTAAACAACAAAGCCTGAGTGACAGCATATCTGTTTACAGCATGGTTGACCGAATATTGTAAGCCAACTATTGAGACCTACTGCTCAGAAAAAAACAAAAAAAAAATTCTTTCAAAATATTACTGCTCTTAGACAAGGCACCTAGCTGCCCAAGAGCTATGATGGCAACGTGCAAGGAGACCAGTGTCGTTTTGATGCTTTACTAACTTGTCATCCATTCTGTAGCCCATGGATCAAGAAATAATTTTGACTTTCAAGTCTTACTATTTAAGAAATACATTTCATAAAGCTATAGCTGCCATGGATAGTGATTCCTCTGATGGATCTGGGCAAAGTAAGTTGAAAACCTTCTGCAAAGGATTCACCAGTCTAGATGCCATTAAGGACATTCATGATTCATGGTAAGAGGTCACAATATCAACATTAACAGGAGTTTGAAAGATGTTGATTCTAGCTCTCTTGGATGACTTGGACCAGGTCAAAACTTCAGTGGAGGAGGTTACTGCAAATTGATAGAAATAATAAGAGAACTAGAGTTAGAAGTGGAGCCTGAATTGCTGCAACCTCATGATAAAACTTTAGCAACTAAGGAGTCGCTTCTTATAGATAATCAAAGAAAGTGGTTTCTTGAGATGGAATCTACTCCTGGTAGGTGAAGACAATGTGAACATTGTTGAAACAGCAACAAAGGATTTTGGAATATTACATAAACTTAGTTGTTAAAGCAGTGGTAGGGTTTGAGAGAATTCACTTCAATTTTGAAAGAAGTTCTACTGTGGGTAAAATGCTGTCAAACAGCATCACATGCTTCAGAGAAATCTTTTGTGAAAGTCAGTGGATGCGGCCAACTGCATTTTTGTCTTATTTTAAGAAATTAACGCAGGCACTCCACCCTTCAGCAACTACCACCCTCAGTATCAAGACCAGCAATATCAAGGCAAGATGCTCCACCAGCAAAAACATTGCAACTTGCTGAAGGCTCAGATGATTGTTAGCATTTTTTTAGCAGTGAAGTATTTTTAAATTGAGGCCTGTACATTGTATTTTTAGACATAATGCTATTCCTTAGTATAGTGTAAACATAACTTGTACATGCACTGGGAAACCAAAAAATTCATATGACAGTCTTTATTGCAATATTTGCTTTATCGCTGTGGTATGGAACTATAATATCTCTGAGGTATACCTGTAATTCTGATGTTTCTGGTGCTGCTAGTTCATGGCCTGCACTTTGAGAAACACTGACTTACAATATATCTAAAACTTAGGGTATTTTCTATGCTCTTAGGTACATGAGGACAGATACTGTTTATCTTTGTACTTTTGGGTTCTAGTGCTTACATTTGTATGCAGTTCAATTGTGTTGCAGTTGACTAAATTGTTCTTAAAGTACTTATGTATTTTTAGGTTTCTTATTTTATATTCTATATATGTTTTTTTTGTTGTTGTTTTTTGTTTTGTTTTGTTTGAGACAGAGTCTCGCTCTATTGCCCAGGCTGGAGTGCGGTGGCGCAATCTCAGATCACCACAACCTCCACCTCCCGGGTTCAATCCATTCTCTTGCCTCAGTAGCTGGGATTACAGGCATGTGCCACCACTCCCGGCTAATTTTGTATTTTTAGTAGAGACGGGGTTTTTCCATGTTGTTCAGGCTGGTCTCGAACTCCTGACCTCAGATGATCCGCCCACCTCGGCCTCCCAAAGTGCTGGGATTATATAGGCATGAGCCACCGCACCCGGCCCATTATGTTACTTTTCCCCCATCTGTTATTGAACTAATAAAGCATTAGGAAAAACCTGAATTTCACTTGCAGTTTCAACTTTATCTTAATGTTTTGCTTCCATTCTCTTCCCTTCTTAGACAACTGTAGATGTTGGTTTTGTTGTACACTTCTGTGTATGCAATTCATAAACAATTTATTTGTGTTTTTTAAAAAGCACTTGTGTTTAAAATTTTTTTACATGGGTGATTTTTACTTATCAGTTCTTCTGAAGCCCTCACTGTCACCCTGCTGTCAGGCCATTCAACTTACTACCTGTCCCTGGCTGTGGTGATCTAGTGTTCTCCTCATCAATCTGGCTTTGGTCACTGAAGACTTCAGCGCAAAGGCCCGCTGTCATTTTGCCACTATTATTCATGCTATCGTTCCTGGTCATGTCCAGAAACCACACTAATGTTTCATCCAACACCCTGACTTTCTGGTTTCTTCATCTCTTTCTGACTATCCTGCCCTCCACTTCAACTCAGTTACTTGCTTCCAAGATAATATTATAGATTTTATTATCTATAATTATTAACACTTTCATCACCTCTAAAATATCAATTTAATCGTCCCATTCTGTGACTACAACCCTCAGTTCATTCACCTCTATTCTAGCAATTCACCCTCATTTTGACCTTTAGTCATTTGACGTTATTAATTTGTTGCCCCTTGTCTCAATTTTTCTATTTGTATTAGCTTAGATTCCATGATTTATCATCATGTTCACTTCATTGCACATCTTCAAGTCCTTTGCCCCCTTCTTCACAGCAGAATCCCCCAACACTGGTGCAGCCAAACTCTGCTATTTCATTTATGGTTCCTAAAAAGCAGAACGTGGCTGGAGAAGAGCACGAAACTATGCTTTTTATGTATGGCCATAAATCATAGATGGTGCCTTATTTGGTACCTTATTCTTGCCTGCAGTCCTACTACATTTCCCTAATTCACTCTCTCACTCTTAAGAATTTTTCCCTCCCCTCAAACCTTCACTTGCCATCTACTATTCAGTCATAACTGATTATCTCACTTCATATTTCATATAAGCACCCAGAAGAGAACTTTTTCCACTTTCAGATATACCTGTGTAACTATATTTTTCCCCCAAAACTCCACTTTCACTTGTGTTATAATAGGAGTCCCTGTCATTGTTCTGTTGAAAACCAGGTCTTCCATTTGTGTACTGAATGTCATTATTTATTGTCTGCAGAGAGTATTGTTCTTGCAGCTGTTCCTTCTGTCTTTTGCATAATCAAATTCTCTGTCGACTGGATCATTACCATCAGCACACGAACATATTTACATACTCCTTATCTTAAGGAAATAGGAGAGACCTTCCTACAATCTTAAGATACCTCTCTAACACTGCTCCTTTTCTCTACTTAATATCACCAAGAGCTGATTTTCCTACCATGTTAAGACTTCTTCACATCAAAAAGGAAGAAAGCCGGGCACAATGGTGCGTGCCTGTGGCCCCAATTACTTGGGAGGCCGAGGCAGGAGGGTTTTTTGAACCCAGGAGTTTGGGGGGTATAGTGCACTATTATTGCATTTGTGTCTAACCACTACACTCCAGCCTGGGCAACATAATGAGACCTATCTCTTAAAAAAGAGGCCAGGTGCGGTGGCTAACACCTATAATCCCAGCACT